AAAAAAAAAAAAGGATCTAGTTTCATCTTAATTGTGACAGGCTAGGGTAGGGAACTAGACTGTGCTTCTGTGTTCAGAATTGTTACATTTTAGGCACACGCTGCATTCCCTGTAACAGTTCTGGGAATATGGTATGCTTTCTCTTCTCGCTGTGCTGTGCTGAGCCGGTAATGCCTTATCTTGGATGAATAGATTTCATAGCCAGAAATTCTTGGAGGGGTGTGCGTGCGGGGGGCGGGATTTTTCTAGGTAAGAAAACTAGGTTCTGGATCCCTTAAGACCCTTGTTTCGTTCTGCATATTCAAGCACCTGCCTCATTTTTCCCCCCCAGCAAGGTGTTGGATATAGCAGAACAAGGCAAACGGTGTCCTACTTCAAGCAAATGTTTCTAGGGCTATTTGGGAGTGGTCCCTTTCAGTGCTGGGTTGTGCTCTGTCATCTGTGGGGAAAGACCATCGAAGGCACTCTGAAAAGTAGTTTCAGAAGCATTGCGTCTTGTGGTAAAGGAGCGGCACAGTCTTGAGAGGCTTGGCTTGGGGTCTCAGCCTTTCAGTTTGCTTTGAATTGCTGTCTAACCCCCAGGTCCTCAGCTCCCATGCTAGGAGGTCAGACACTTGACTCGGTTCTGGTGTGTCACTACTTTGAGCGAGGCATGAACTGGGAGGCTTTTCGCTCTTGTGCCCAAAACAAAGGAAGTTTGTGTGCCAGCCTCGCAGCTCTCTTGCAAGGGAATGAGAGAGTGTATCTCATCAGACAGGCATTTAGCATTAGAGCAAGGGTTGTCTGGTGTTACAGACAGCGTCCTGTCTTTCTTCCCTTCTCTCTCATCATAATATTCCCTTTGTGTCAGAGGAGGGGGTAGGGGAGGTTTCTTATGTGTTGGGAGCAGGGAGTATTTTGGTTATGCAGACCTTTGGGGGCTTTCGAGCAAGGAAGGGGGTGGCGAGGGCTGAGTATCCTGGACTTTAAATCTTTTTTCCTGTAATGCTCAGGTTCTTAATCTGTGTAGGAAGGATGAAGGGATCAGGGCTTTGTGCATTTGCGAGGGGGAACTCCATGCAGACCAGACTTAACAATTTTAGCTCTGTCCTGGCTAGTTTATCTCTCTTCCTACTCTGTCTCCTGCTGTCTAATTTGCCTCCTCTTCCTTTGTTCTTGCAGGGAAGTGAATTGTATGTCTAGGGAGGGTCAAAACTATTGGGTGGAGCTCATCCTTGCTAATGGGACAGTTCTGATCTGAGAAAAATCTTCCTGATACCCTGACTTACAAGTGACGCTGAAATTCCCTCAATAAAAGAATAACTGCACAGCCAGGGGCTCTGGGTTGGTCAGGCCATTTTTCTTTGGTTCTTACTGGCAACACCTTCATCTGGTAATATCTGTCCCTCCTCCCCCTTCTGTGCCTCTTGTCCTGAGGGATTGGTGTCATCTTCTAATGCTCTTTGTTACAGAATTGGGGCTGTGACTTTCTACAAGTCTGTTCTCCAAAGCAGACCATTTTAGGGACTTCTGTAGCCATTATTGTTATGAGAGAGGTAGTTAACTTTGTTAGTTTGAAGTCTGGCAGTTTGTGGGCCATGGTGCCTGTGCTGTAAAGCAGTTTTTAGTACAGTTAGCCTAATGCCACTGAGATTTAATAGGATGCCATCATCCCCATTTTACAGGAGGGAAGCTGAGGCAAAGAGATGAAGTGACCTGGGCAGGGTCCAAGCAGTCGGTAATAGAGGAGGGACCCAAACCCTGCGTTTGTGTTCCAGTCGTTGGGCCATCTTTGCTGCCCAAAGATATCTGGTGGCTGTCTTCTGTCATGCCAGTGTTCAATCTGAGCAGGTCTAAATTTTGGATATGCTTTAACCTAGAGTTAGAGTCTTATCCACTTATTCAGTCTGTGCTGCTTTGTCCATAGTATACAGTTAATGTGGAGATGATATCAGCATTTCCCCAAGCTCAACTGGGAATTCTTGGAATTCTTTCCTGTGCTATCACTTGAAGCAGGACTCCTTATGGCTTTAATACTTGGGCTTTTCCTAACATGTTTCATGTGATCTCAAAGCATTTGTACAGATCTTAGTGAACTTTTCCCTGCCAGGAATGAAAAGGTGGGGAATAGTCTTTAGATGCATAGTTATCCCAAACATACTAATAAAGAGGTGGAAGCCCAGTGATCACCACAAACTCACCATGTGATTGTGGTGGAGATCTGGGACTTATTTTGCCCTTCTGAATCTTTATTTCTTCACTGCTTCATTTATCATGAGGCAGAGGTGAGTTAAGGGCTATTCTAGTTTCCAAATACCTCCTTTGGGTCCAGTTCAGATTTGATCATGTAAGTCTGGATCTTGCCATACTCCTTTTACCCCTCTACCAGCTCCTGAGTGCTCAAGCTTTGGTATGCAACCAGACTAAAAGATTTGATGTTATTGGCACTTCCTGCTCAGGAGTACAGGGCTGGAATGGCAAAAGCAAAGCAAGGCAAGAAAGAGATGGAGGCGGCAAGAGCTGTCCTGGTATAACAGGACAATCTGGCTTTATGCATAGTCCTCCTTTATTTGCCGTTACTTTCTGAAACATCCTTGTATGAGGAAAATTTCACGATAAAACTATTTGTGGGGAAACTATGCAGCAGTGGGGAACACTGGCAGCATTGTCGAATGTACCCATAGTTTAAAATTATGTAGAGAAGTGATGTGGTCCAGTGAATGATCATTATACCAACAATGGTTTTATTTTGAAATTGTGGTTTGTGAAATACCCTCATGCTTGTTCACCCCTTTAGCCTGTCCTATTACACTTGACTTTAGTTTGGCTGGGATCTTGTGCATATAAGGTGCTGTCCTTTCTTTTCAGGGAGCATTTACTGAAATTTTTAAGAGCTTTTCTGGGATGTTTGGGAAGATGAAAGCTACTAGCTTAATGGTGTTTGCTGGACTTGTGTGGGTTTCCTACAGGGTGATTACTTTTAGTTTCAGCCCTTCTGGTTCTGTTGCTAGACCCAGATGTTTGTGGTACAGTGTCTATTACAACACTAGGTTTGCCAGAGCACAGGGCTTGGAGTTGGGAGAAGAGTTCTCTGTCTAGTTCTGTGCAGTTAAACCTCTGTGCCTGTGGTTCTTCACTCTTCAACTCATTGCTTTGTGTAAAGCGAGGATCCCCGGAAAAGTGGAGTGTTACTGTACTTGGAAACAGGACTAGAGGTGCCTTCAGTACCTAATGTTTTCTTTAATACTGAAGCCCTCACTATCTTACGGATATTGGTGAATCTAGTTTCAACCTCTGGCTGGGATAAGAAAACATGACTTTCAGACTTGCTTCCCGTTTCTTCATCAGCAAGTTCATATACAAGTGAAGCGCAGTGGCTTCAGTGAGTCTGCACCCTGGTAGAAAACGAGATGCTGGCTTATAGTTTATTTGCATCTCCTATTGGTGGCAGTAGGTAGAATTGGCAAACTGGTTTGGGCTTGTAAACATATAGGTGTTGGCTAATGGGATGACTAAATCCAAACTTGTTAGTTGAATTAGTTAACTTTAGAACTTTCTGATGAAATGTCTGTATTTAACATGGCTTTACTGGGAGGGACCTATATTATTGTATTATGGCTCAGGGATCAGTGTTAAACCATAATGTTGTTGAGAGAGGCTTAATTGATGGCCCACAAAGTCCACTAGACCTCCAGGAGAGTTACAGATTTCCAGTAAAAGCTTTGGCCACT